GCTTCCACATTACGAGTTTGTCAGCATCAGACTATGGTGTGCACTGTTTTCGTATTGGGGTGGCCACGGAAGCTGCTAGGCTGAGCATGTCCCAGGAAGTGGTTCAGAGAATAGGTAGGTGGGAATCAATCCACTACTGTTCGTACCTGAGGCCTCATAGATTGAAGGGCTCATTAAACTCCGAGACTGATGGATTTTTTCTTTCTTTTGCAGTTAGTCTTGTGGGTTCAGCCTATATCATGCTCTGTTGCTACACTGAATTTAATTTAATTTTAGGTCAGAAGTGGCTGGTGGTATGGATCGTGGGTCATTCCTTTATATTTTGGGTGGCTCGTAGAGCAGAAATTTGGCGCAGTGGACTGCAATAAGGTTTTCCGTCAGCCGAGGTGAAACTGGTATGGCTAGAAATTCAGGGGCTTCTTGGGCCTAAGTGCCCCCATTGCTTCATGATCGGGTAGCTCTGGAGGGATCTCCGGACATTTTATTTCTGCATTTTGGGGGGAAACAACCTCGGAGTCATCCCTTTTACAGCCCTTCTTGGAGCAATGCATCATGATTGACAGCCTTTTTGGACAAGCATTTTAATGTTCTTCTGGTCTGATCAGAGATCATTCCGCATTTTTTATGAAAACAGGCCAGGGATTGCAGAGCCATTTACAAGGCTCGCATTAAATTCAATATGGTTATGACCAAATTTACTGCTTCAGGGAATGGTCTGGTCGCTCCTCATCTGGACATGGAGGGAAGATGTTTTGATTTTCGGGGCGAATGGTGTCCACCTCAATAATGTGGTTCTTGACATGTTTACCCTGTTCCTACAGGACTGGAATGAATGGGCTCTTTCTCTGTGGCAGTCAGGGAGTCAACAAGGGAATCGTCACTTGCCTGATGATGTCCGTTATCCCTTTTGAGGGCTGAGGTGGCAGGTGGGAGATAGAGTTGGGTGAATTGGTGACAGGATGCCCCAGTAAGCCCCGAACATAACCTGGACGGCTGGGGGCTGAATTGGCTCCTGATAAGGAAAGAGAGTTTGAGACACCCACTCAGCCCTGCAAAAAGGATTCTGGAGCTAGTTATACATATGTTAATCGTTTGATCGTTCATTATTTACATATATCAAGCTGTGGCCGATACATACTAAAGTATTAACCCAGTCAAAAGGATTTATGTTGTCGGAGTGGTTATTTAAAGTTATGTTTTTTTAAGAGAGAAGTAAACAGTGGATCACTCAAGTAGATGATTGGTAATAACTAGCTAACAGTTACACTAATAATAGTTGATAATAACAGTTTCTTACTGTTTTCGACCGTCATTTTGACCTCAGGTCTAGCATTTTTGATGTGTTGTTTTTCAGCAGTGAAAATTAATAACATGATAGTTCTGATAACTGGAGCATATGACAATACTGGCATTGCTTACCTTTCTTGAAAATGCTAGTTTTCTGGCTGTCTCCGGCCTCAATATATTTATTCACTGACCCAGAGAAAGCATTTAGATCAGGAACTGCCAAGAGCAAAGTCAAAAAAAAAGTCAAAATCTTTATTTTAATATTGGATAGACTAGGGTCGGGTTGAAATAGCCACCAGATTGTATTTTGCCATCTTTTCCATTAAGGAGATTCTCCTCCTCATTTTGTTCTGTAGATTCAACAAGAAATAAGAGGATATCTTTCCATTGTGAGTATAATGCCCTCATAGACAGTTCTCATCTGAACAAGTGTCTCCTTTGAAAGATTTCCTCTTTATTCCTTTTCTGGTGGCAACTCAACATTTTTGAATTTTCTTTCTTTCATTCCCAGCAAAAGTGATGATCCGGATAACTAGAAAGAGTGAACTTCCTCAGCGGGAACACAGACAGAAATACAAATTGCTCAGTGGTTCTAAACCTGTCAGAAAATCTATAAAATGTTGTATTGTCTTTTGTTATACTTTGAAGTAGTACTACATTATGGTAAAAAATGCCCCACTACCTGTCCTACCTCAACTTGTCCCTTACAGGCTCCATGTCCCCTTTCCAATGCTATTTCCAGCTCCCCAGTTTCACAGGAGAAACTGAGGGCAGCGGAGCCATAGGCTCACAGCTTACTCTGGGACCTGATGGGAATGTGCATCCACGGGTGCCTCCTTAGCACCTAGGCTTACTACAGTGGGCACCCAAAGGAGGGGAGGAGCCTACAGCGAGGACTGAGAGAAATGGAGAAAAGCTTGTTTTTCTTCCAAAAAATTGCATTTAATGTTACTTTAAAGTGGCTGTAAACCCTTACATATACCCAGTGACATGACTGACTTCAGGTGATACACAGCAATGAAACAAATCCACTTACATAAGTTGTACCTGTTTATTTGCAGCCATTTGTCCTGAACATCCTTGTAAAATGCAGAAATGAAATGGATTTTTTCACTGAGGCCCTGTTCACACTTGAGTGTTTTGTAGCTCAAAAATGCTCAACAAGCAAAAAACCTATTGTTTTCAATAGCCCTTGTTCACATCTGAGCATCTCACCTGTAGCAAAATGCTTGTCGCTCAAAAAAGTATGCTAGATACTTTACAGGCAGAACTAAGCGTATTTGTCCCCATAGACTTTAATGAAAATACCTAAAAAGCACGATATGAGCTATTTTTTTTGAGAGTTTTTGAGCAAACAGCAGCTCTCCACCCTTTTTTCAGCAGCACTCCACGTTTTAATTGGAAAAACGCCTGAAAAAAGGCTTGACAAAAACAGCAAAAACTTGCAATTCTGCTCCAAAAAAAGCTTGAAGAAATGCTTGAAAACATGAAGCTTGGGTGTGAATGTAGCCAGATTCATAAAGCAGGAGGGTGGAGTTACAGTTACATACTGTACAAGAGCTCTGACAGCTGATTGGAGGGAAAAGATAAACCACTCTTCTTCATACAGCACACAAGAACAGAGCTGAGGCTGTCAATCACAAGCTGTGTGCTGGAGATCCCTCCCATCATCTTTTTACCTCTTGGTGTCAGGAAAACTTGTCAGAAGTAAATCATGCTGATAACAGAGGAAGCAGAAAGCAAAGTGAAGTAACACTTAGTGCTTTAGAGAGCAAGTAAACACTATAGTAATATGCGCTTTTTTGAATTTCACATCTGAGGTTTACAACCACTTTAAGTTTCCCATTTACTTATTACAGATTTATTTGGTGTATGTGGGTGTGATGTCCTATGCACATACCTTTTCTTATATCAACACAGCATCCTGACCTCTCTACAAAAAATGAATTAATGCTGACTCTTGTAGTACTATCCCCTCCCCTTCTACTGACCACTGTTCCTTCAAGCCAGGTCACTTTCCAGAAACAGAGGATGGCACCTGGGCTGCTACCAAGTGGAGAAGGGAGGTACCAGAGAATAATTTCTTAACAGCTCTACTTTTTAACATTAAAATGTTGCTTTAATGTTTTAATACTGCTTGTTATACTCACTGTGGAACCTAAGGGGTTAATCATCTGCATTATGTAAAAAGGCTGTTTGATCCTGACTTCTCTGCTCCTCCTCTTGTTCAAATATCTTCCTCTTATCTCCTGATAAGTCAGACTGAACCCGTAGCCATTCTGCACATGCTCAGTTTAGTGTGTATTGCTAGAGTTTTTTTTTTTCTTGGGAGAGTGCATGTGATCAGCACAGGGCCAATCAGCACTGTCCAGACAGAGTTCAGGGGTTCTGCATCCTCTTAGAGCAGAAAGAACACTCCTCCTACAAGCTTTATCTAGTGCTCTGCTGAACACTGATAGAAGTCACAAGACTGCTCTATCTGCTGATGAGAAAAGGTATTTAGCAGTTTATTTTTACGAAAATAATTGCATTTCCATGTTGTGTGTACTGTGGGAGACCAGATATAGTGAATGCAGGGTAATGGGTTTAGTAACACTTTAACAAACAGTCCTTGAGCTCATGTCAAGTGACTTTGCCTAGGCTGAGATGATGTCATCAGTCAGCTGCAGGCAGGGGGAAGCATTTACTTAATCATCTCTCCTTCCAGTGATCAACGGGGTACATTGTAACTTTGTAGGTCATGAGGCTGCAGCAAGGGGATGACATTTGTGAACACAGCCAAGCACTGCACATCCGGGTTTACGTGAGTGTGTCATCTCTGAGCCTGCATCTCAGTCCAAGAAATAGATGGTGGCCACAAATAATGGCTGAAAAAGATGACACCATTCTTCTGGGGAAAAAAGAGCGGATGAAGGCATTGACAGACAAGTATTATGATCTCAGGCAGGGGCGGACTAACAACTCATGGGGCCCCACACTCATAGGGGGATCATGGGGCCCCTGTGTCCTCACCCACAGCCTCAAACCAAGGTCCCCACAAAGGACATGAAAGGTACCAGGGACATCTCATGGGGCCCCCTACTGACCCCGGGCAGTGCCCGAGTTCCCCAATGGTCAGTCCGCCCTGATCCCAGGACTAGAAGTGATGACAATCACTTCAATATGCTTTTAGTAGAGTGGGGAAGTGTTGGAAGTTTTGCTTTTACTGCTGTGTATACCTTCCTGTCCTGATGACAACAGCTCCCCCAATTTCTTTAAGGGCATCACAAGGACAGAAAGTGAGGAAAAATCTCATTAGGATCATGGACAGAAATGACCTGACTTAAATTTTGGCTCTACCACATTCATTAGTTTGAAAGCTTGGAAGTCACCTCAAATATACTTTTCTACAAATATTGCAATAGCTTTGATCCCCCTTCCTGAAACTTCTAGTTGACTGGCTGTCATGTTGACTTTCTGCCTTCAATTAATTGAGTCATTAACCTAGCACAATTATGAAGATAATGACTTCTGATTTTACTCTGACTTTCCTGATGTGCAAACATGCTCCAAGTCAGGCATTGAGGAAAAAAAATAAAATTGTGGCTCATCAAACCAGCCGTACAGCTGGAATTTTCAGAAGGTGGGAAGCAATGGCAGCCTCAGTATAAGGAAATGTTTACTTTCAAGAAATAAACCCCAAATATGTTAACACTGTCCATTCCATGTCTTACCTGCAGTGATCTGAAGCCAAGCACAAAGCTTATAAACCGTCCCTGAGTGACAGAACCACAGCAGTCCAATGCAGGCCAGGCTGAACAGAACCAGCAGGAGAGCCCCAACCATGAAGCCAGCTGCTGTCTGGAAAGGAGGGAGAGCCTCCAGAGCAGCTGGTGGTCCCCTGCATTCAGTGCCCCAGTCTGATTCCTCACACACCTGGTAAAGTCCAAACTGCCCACTACCCTCCCCACCTAAAACCCAGGCGGGCTGCAGGAGCACCACAATCTCCAAGATGCCTAGGAAAAGGGTACAAGAAGCCCACAGAACAGTGACTGCCCGGCCATTTTGGACAAAGTCTGTGTCGTACAGCTGCACGTGTCCATGAGGTTCCATTGAGAATCACCTGGATGACAAAAACAAATACAAAATAAAATAGAGGCAGACTCAAGTAAATGACTTACCAACTAGCTCTTAAAAGGTTAGTCCATTCAGAATTAAAATTTCAGCTATTTGTAGATGCTGCAGAGTTAAACCACCTAATATCTAGTTCTATCCCTCAGGAACATTATTGGTAACATCTCGGTGATGAGTTCCTCCTGGATGTGCACACTTTTTTGACTATTATGAGGGGATTACATTATTTCTGGTATTTGTTTTATTTATATTATGGAGAAGGTAACAGAAGGAGTTGGAACACATAAAGCTGAACAGTAGCACAAAAAACTTCCAGGTGGACAAGAACAGTGTCAGCTTTTAAATATGATTCTCTATACAGGGGTATGAGCAATATTAGTGACTAAAACACACAGACACACATTAAACTGGGTGGGCCTGCATCTTTTTCCAACTCTTTCAACCATGTATTAGAGAGATCTTGCTGTTGGAACATTTAAGTCATTTAAAAAGCCAGCGGTTGACTCATCTCACCAGGCCCTTTCTATAACTAGAATATTGTTTTTCGGTGGAATAAACCTTTAAGCTGATCGTTCAGTGAAAACACTGAACCAATCTTTCTCTTCAGATATGTGTTCTCTTTGTAAAGATTCTAGAATTCCGCCCCTCTCAGTTGGTCCACATACAGTATCTGATCTCAAACTAGTCTTCCCCCTTTGAACTCATATATCCAGGTCAACAAACTATTTTCCCTCTTCATATATAGATACCGTAATTGATATAGAATTGATCTCACCATTACTCTGAATAGATATCACCCTAGATTCCACCTCCTTCTGCATGAGCAGAGATAAAGATCAGCCTCCCTTGCCTCTTTCATTCAACAGATATATGGTATCTCAGTCTTGATATGGGACCTAGGACTTCATTCCATAGACAGTAAAATGGTCTCCAGTGTGATTCAGGACCTAGGACTTATGTCATAGGTATAAGGTGTGCAATCTGATACAGAAACTTGGTCTTGCCTCCTTTATTCAGTAGATACTGTATATGGTCTTCAGTCAGCACCTGTCAGGGATCCTGTCGCCGTGCAGCCGTGCGATGAATCCCCTCGAGCCGTGGCGGTGCCAGTGCGCGGGAGCGTGCGGGCGCGCATGCTCAGAAGCGCGGAAAAATCGTGCATGCGCAGAACGCGTACACATCACGCCAGGCGGGCTATTTAAACCTGCAGAATAGTAAAGTCAAATGCCTTCTGGTCTATAACGTTCCTGCACATATTCCTGATCCTGTTATCTGTATTCTGATTTGCTTGACTAAGAAAGAACTCCGCCTGCACCGACCTCGGCTATTCCTGACCATCCGCTTGCCTGCTCCCTTGTACCTTATCTGTCCGCCTGATACTGACCCGGCTTGTCTGAATCTGCTGCCCTAACCTGCACCTGTACCTGGCTTACATCCTGACGGTTGCCACACTTACCTGCTGCTGCACCCACGGTCCTGCACCTGGCCTGCAGTCTGGTCACCGCCATACCTGCCTGCTACTGCACCCACATTCTGGTATCCGGTCCTAGTCCACATCCTGATTGCCGCCATACCTGCCTGCTGCTGCACCTACGTTCCTGCACCTGCACCTGACCTGCATCTGGATCTCCTGGTTTCCGGCTACCTGTCGCCAGCTCCAGATCCACCCGGCACTCGTGCCACTCCTGCTCTGCGCTTACATTTATTACGAGGAATTTAGTAAATCTGGAGCAGTTGTGCAAGGTGACCAAATCAGCTTCTAACTTTCATTTTCAAAGCTCAACTGAACAAGCTAAGTTAGAAGCCAATTGGTTACTACAAACAGCTGCTCCAGATTCTGTCTACTCCAGTTTTGGTAATTTCCCCCCATTGTCTCTGGTCTGATACAGGACTTAAACATACGGTCTCCAATCTGATATTTGACGTATGATCCGTCTCCTTTATTGCATAGATATATGGTCTCCAGTCTGATAAGGATCCCATGGCTTGTTTCTTTTATTCCATAATTACATGGTATATATATATATATTATTCAGTACTTTATATCTTATCTAGAACCCATCTACTATATATACACCTAAAACTCACATCATCCCTTTTGCCCCCAGCATCCCCCCCCCCCCCCGAATTCAGTAAAGAGACATCCCCATATCTTCTGCAAAGAGGTGGCCCAATCCAGCAAAGAGACATCCACATATAATCAGAAAAGAGATGGTCCAATCCAGCACAGAGACACCCCATATATTCAGCAAAGAGATCACCCAATCCAGCAAAGAGACATTCCCATATACTCAGCAAAGAGACATCCCCATATATTTAGCAAAGAGACAGCCCTATATATTCAGAGACATATCCATCTAGCAAAGAGACTACCCAATCCAACAAAGAGACAGTCACAAATAGCCAAGTGTGCAAGTTTATGTGCTCATCAGATACCCCTATCTAAACATGCATACCTTTATAGGTCAAGTGCATATGTTTATGCCCTTGTCAGATACCTCCATAAAAAAAATTACATCCTTACTGGCAAAGCATGCATGTTTATGTGGTAATCAGCTACCTCCAAATAAGCATGCATATTATTTACCAGGTGTACATACACTTGTGTTCAAAATAATAGCAGTCAGACATAACTAACCTGATCAATCACTGTTTTTGGTAGAAATTATATTTCCAAATAATTTACTAACAGGTGTAGTAGAGTAATAGAAATCCAACAGACCCAACAGTCATGACATGCATGCTGCTGATTCTGTGTAATTGAATCACTAATTGAAAGGGGCCTGTTCAAAATAATAGCAGTGTGGAGTTCTATTAGTGAGGTCATTCATTCTTTGAAAAACAGGTGGCAATTATTGCCCTTATTTAAGGAAGGAAGGCAGCAAATGTTGTACATGCTGGTTACAGTGCATTTCTCTCTGAAATTCTGAGGAAAATGGGTCGTTCCAGACATTGTTAAGAAGAACAGCGTACCTTGATTAAAAAGTTGATTGGTGAGGGGAAAACATATTGGGCTGGAATACCTGTTCACAGGTGCCAGAAGTTGGTTGACTCCATGCAACACAATGTACAGCAGTTCTCAGAAACAGTGCTTATACAAGTAAATATTAAGTGATTCAAAGGAAAGCAAAATCTTCAAACATTTTTCAGTTTATATAGTGAATGTTTGAGTTTGTAAAGAAGAATACAAACACTGCTATTTTTTTGAACAGTCTAATATTCAATTTTCTTCAATTTTTTTAGAGGAACAACACAAATTTGATATATTTTTCTTCATGTTTTGATTTGGAATAGAATGTGCATTTGTGTGTATGGAAATAAAAGCTATTAGAAGGATTTTGAGCTTTATTCACTTTTTTCAACACACTGCTATTATTTTGAACACAACTGTATTTATGTGCTCAGATATCACTTGGGCTGGTCTTCTCTTGAAGAACCAACCCAGCCGTTTTTTTCGGCAGAAAAATGACTGGCTGATCATACAGCCACAGTGTGCTCCAGGGTCTGAGATCTGTCCTCTCAGATACAGAGGATGTAGAATCCAGCACTGGGGTGATGTACGGACTCTGAACAAAGACAACCAAAACAAGCCCTAGCAACCACTCTGAGTGGAGGAAACATCTGACTGGTTGCTTTGAACCATTGGTTCCAGTAACTACTGTTGGTAGGGACTGCAGCTTTAGCATTTTTTCTAGTAAGCCCCAGTTCCTCCCCTGCCCCCATGCTGGGACTTGTAGTACTACAGCAGCCTTGCTCTAGGCAGTGGGAGAGGGATATCTGGGGTGGATACTGGTCAGGATAGCTTGTGTGAGGCGGCTCACCAGAAGAAAGTATTGGTCCCATCATAAAAGACCTCAGGATTGGTGCTTTTCTTAGACTTCTCCACTCTGTGTAGGGGCTTACTGGCGAGCAGCCTGACCTGGGTCTCCACTTTCTCCCAGCACTGTCCAATCAAGGAAGACTAATGGACCCCCTTTCTGTCCTCATGGGGAACCATGGTCCAGCAATTCCCAGTCAAGCTTACCCTCACTGCTGGCCACTCCAAACTCTCCACCTCCTTAGCGGGGAGGATAGGGCAAACGTGGGGCACTCAATTTCCTCTAAGTTGGTTGGGCACTGACATGCATAGCATTGGGTGCTTTGACAGCTGGCTGGATGAGGCAAGGGGGCCACATAGGCCCCCCTGCAACCCCTCAAGCTATGCCTAGCAACAACTTGGTCTTGTTGGTTGGGGCCCAGGCGGCCTACCGAGACCTGGGCCTCTCATGACACCCAGGCCCTCTACATGTGTGTGGGCTGTCCCCCTTATGATGGCAGCCCTGCTTGTTGAATTCAGATTTTTTTTGCTCTGTATACAGTTTTTGATTTTGGATCTATCTTTATACAATTTTCTTAGGACATACTCTTCTTTGGACACACACGGACAACCCATCATCTCATCTGCAGAATAGCTGACCCAGAAATGATCTTTTCCTGGTTTATATACATCTAGAACAGCCTTTCTCAACCAGGGTGCCTTAAGGTTTACTCAGGGGTGCCTTGGCAAAATGTCTAAAAATTGCCCAAATTGTGTATACAAGCCAGCGGGGTGGAACAAGCCTGCCTTTTAGTTACATAAAGTCACATGTTTTCATTGTGCACCATTACGACCTTCTAGCCACCGGCATCCTGACAACCAATGACATCATCAATTGAAAAGGAGTATGTCGGTTGTCTGCACAGCATCCTTGTTTGACCCTCCCTTGCCCCTTTACATCAGCACCAGGGTCACATTAGCTCAGTGATGGAGAAAACTGAGGGACAAGAGAAACACTGGAATACTACTTAGTGTGCAAAGGTGTATTTGCTTTGGAAGAATAAATCACCTCTAATATTGGGTGTCCTATGGGTGTAGATGTTGCTGCGTCACATAAAACTATTAGAATAGTTTTTCACATTTTAAAATGCGGTGCCCCTTTAAAATTATGGACAGTCTGGCG